TGAATCACTTGAAAAAAACACGGGGGTGCTTAACTTTTTTCCAGGTGTATAGTTCAAACAAGTCTCTATGATGAACTCTTTTTGAGGTCAAACTTGAGAAGATTTTATAAGATCAAAGTTAAAAAGCAACTCAATTTTATCTATTACTTGTTTCACTTTTATATTAATAACATCAAAACATGGTACTATTAGTCATTCTTAATGGCTTGCATTTGGTTAATTAAATAAATTTAAGATTTCTTTCTTGTGTTTAGTAATTTTTCAAACACAAATACCAAACATTTTTAGAAATAACTTTTGTCTTATAAAAATCAATAATGAATTTAGAAAAAAGTGGAACCTATACAAGTAACTGGTGTTTATCAATACAAATCCCTATTGCTCAGCCAACAAAAATACAACAAACTGTGACTGATACCAGATCGCCAATGTGGAAAATTCTAGTTACTAGTATCACGTACAAAACTTACAACAGAAATGATGCTCTTCTTTTTAAAATTGATAGTCTGTGTAGAATTTCAAAACATGAAGTATAAACAATAGTAAACTAGTTATCTAAACAACCAGAGGCATGATCTTGTATTGTGTGAACCAAGAAATAACAATCACTATTACCTGAGCAATAAAACAAAGGATAAAGTTTCCAACAGCAAGAACAAGCAGCATGAGACGAAACTTGAGCTTCTCGTGAGGATTCCATAGTACCAACTTTCAGAGAAGCAAGTATTTATTGAAATACATATATGTCAAAAAATACAAATACAGTTGATCACAGTTAATATGATTAGTAGTAACAGCTGTAAGTCACATATCTAAGTCACAAATACATTTCATGAAAGTTAATATGTGAATTACAATAGATTGCATCAACTGTGAAAGCCATATCTATATATATGCATGAACACTGAACAATATAAATTTGTTTCATGAAATGTAACAACTGTCGGTGTGTATGTTTGTTATTCCAGCTCTGAAAGTCATAAAATTATCTATATGCATATATAAGCTACAGAAATAAGGGATATTTCAAATTTATAATACTGATAAGTCAAAACCACAATAATAAAATAATGTCAATCACTCCAAGTTTATCATTATGCAAATTAGGCATCTGATGATCACTCTTGTGATCTAAAATACAAATAATTGGTCATTTAGCCTAAGGTCTTGTACAGTTTTTGTCTTAGTTGTTACTTTGGAGTGAATCACCAAATATAAAGTGCTCTAAAATCTCCAGGAACAATGGTTATGCCACGTAGAGGATATCTGGATATTCCACTAAGTGAAAAACCACAACACGAAGAGAAGCCAGCCAGTCACACTGTGGTGAATTGCCAATAAGTGTTTCTATGTGTCATTAGCAGAGTATTATGCTTAAAACCAACAGTATAGATGCTTGGACTGCTGAACAAGGCTATCCATCATCCATAACACAGGCATACAGTTGTTATCTGTCAGTTCTGGCTTGCCCTAAACTGTATAGTACCTGCTCTAAGACTGAATCAGATGTGCCAAGCTATGTCAAATAACAGACTTTATAAGACTGGCTTATCTGTCAGACAGTCAATGAGGTGCTTTCCATTCAAAGGTAAGGCACATAACAGCTCACCTGCAATAGTGCCAAAAACACATCCATTGTAGTATAACAATTTATTTTTTACATATGAATTGTAGTTCATCATACAGTGAAATAACAGACACATACTCACCTCTGGAGAGCATCTGAACCAGAGCCAACACCATTTTCTTTTGGAAATGTAATGCTAGATGGTGCCACTAGCACCAAACATTACAAGGATCACATACTATGACCTTTGTACTAACAAATACTGGTACAATTAGTCCTGACTGTAGGATAGTGGATGATAACACCTCCACAACACATTCATTGAAGTAAACAGAATTGCCTGAATAGAATAGTGCAAGCTCACTGGACTTCAATCCCATTAAGCATATATGAAATGCTCTGGAGAAACAAGTTGCATATCAACAAGACTCCAGAAACTAAGGATACTTGTGAACTGCTTTTTTAAATCATTAGTCAAAAACACTTAACGACTTTATTATCACTTGAGTTTTTTTTAAACACTGATGCCAGGTTGGTGGTGCAAATCGTACTCCATATTAAGAGGAAATTTCATGAAGTTTTAAAGATGTGAAGTTATTTATGAGCACAAACTGAATGACCAACCATTTCAAGTTCAGTCACTACATGACAGATCATCAAATCCCTAATTGGCCTACAACCTAAGAGAAATGGCTGACATTGTAACAGTTATTTTGCTTTCTATTACTTAAAATATTATACATTCTAATTATACTCTTAATTGTTTTCTGTGGTACACATGTCCACTTCTGAATAATGTCTTTATCGAAAAATAAAATCTAAACATGAAAAGAAATAAAACTCATAACAGTTAAGAAATAGAAGGCTAGTTGTAACAAAAGTAATAAAGCAGTTTAAATTTTATTGATCATTGAAAATCCATACCAAATTTTACTGCTATCACCTAAGAATTTTTATGTTTATAATAAACCTCAACCAATTTTCTTTTTTTGTTATTAAAAACTAATAAAGAAAATTCTTGTCTTTGCATCAGATGTCTGGAAGCATAAGTGTTAGATAAATGAGTAAGTGAAAAGGCAGTATCCAGTCCAATACAATGCACATCATATAAAAAATAAAAACATGGATAGAGGGATAACTGTTTTTAGACTTACCTTAAAAAAGGCATTTAACTTCTTAAAAGGACTAAACAGAAGAAGTAGTGTAAATCCTGTCAGCAGAAACAGAGCTCCCATAAAATAGACTGAAATATTAAAAACAAAGAAGTAAAATTAACTAAATGTATTTAAAATACGAGAACTGATAAACTAGAAACTGATTTAACAGTAATGAAAACAGGTATTTTTTCAAAGCAAAGTAAACTTTTATTTATGCAAAAACGAAAGATTACTATGTTATCAAATATTTTAATTTAATACAACATATAGAGGAAAACAAAGAACATGCAATTGAATAACATACTGTAATAAGTACTGGTCACTACAATCTAACATTTAATATTTTCATCATATCATAAAAAAATAAAAACTATTTAGATGAATAATACTGTAATAAGTACTGGTCACTACAATCTAACATTTAATATTTTCATCATATCATAAAAAAATAAAACTATTTAGATGAATAATACTGTAATAAGTACT